GGTTAAATATGAATTTGTGGGTTATGATGTCACGTAAAAGGAGTGTGGGCCTTCTACTCAGTGACCACAATACCAACCCCTAAATCAATGTAGTCTTGAAGTATGTTGATCTAAATTAGTAGTAGCTTCAATAAAAACCGCAATACGTTGTTTTATTCCCAATTCCGATCACATCGCATTGCCATTAATCAAATAGTTTCCGAGTTGAAAACAAACGGAGAACAAATGCCTCCTTAACTTCATTATACCCAAGTTATTGTATTAAGGACTTCAATTGTAATGTTTGCCTGTGAATCGATCGCTCGCTTTCTAATTTAAATTAAATTTACACTCTATTTCACTTGTACGTTGAGCCTCGATTGTTTCAAACAAACCTTCAATTTATTCTCTCTCATTTTTGCGTTTTATTACAGCTATTGGTAGGTATTATGTCAAGGCCACCTCGAATGATGTGTTTGAATTGACTGCTAAATATTTTCCAAGTAGGCAGCGCCACCGATAATTAATTTGTTTTTTAGTAAAAATGTTTCTTTTTATATTATTTTCCCTTGTACTTATAGAAAAATACAATTTCACACATAATATATCAGACTCAGATCTAGAACAACAATTTGTAACAGCCAGTTGCCCAGTCACGGAACCAACAAGCTGTTAAAGGTGGTGACGTATGGGCCGTACTTCGGCACGAATGGGTCGGCTCAAACGGTGTGATATTACGGCCTCACAATACTGCAATACATACACAAACTAAATACTGCTGATGATGAAGATGTTATCAGAGGCCCAATTCATCCTCCTTCACATCCTCAAACCCACAAGACGTAACTCCTTTGGTACTACGAATGTTCATATGCGACACCGATTACTTACCATCAGGTAATCCGTCTACTGATTTGCGGCCTGATGGCATAAAAAAATTGTTGATAACATAACGATTGTAATGAAAAATAAATTGAATAAATATTTTGTTCGACGATACATTAAAAATGGGACCCCGTACTCGACAATTACACTCGACTATTGAACCTGCAAATTAGATATGTACCTACACAGGTGATAATATATCCTGAAATACATTAGGGAACAAATAATGCTCATTAAAATGTGGGCACAGTACAATTCTGACCTATAAATAAGATGGGACCTCACTAGTACGGCGGAGGTCTACAAGGCTTACTAATTAAATCCACTCGTATCTTCACAGCTACACTTTGTATTTAAAATCATTAAGTCTGTAATTATCAGAGACATTGGAGATGCTTTCCGAATATTTTCAATTAAAACCCTTTGATATTTTTGCTTAGTATCCTTTTAAGGTAACCTCATTAGGAGACTAATGACAAAAGCGATACTGCTAAAAATAAACTCCTAATATTCCTCCCAAAACGCGAAAGTTTGCATGGATGCTCTTTCACTTAAAAAATAACGAAAGGCTTTTTTTGTAGGGAAATTATCAAATGACTTATCTTCCTCGCACTGAGAGTGTTACACTGGTACTGACTAAAAACCCCTTCTCTTGCTCCAGACCAGGGCCGCGATTCATTTTTACGCTTAATCTGCAACCCCTGCTGATCATCAGCCCTATTGGGCCCCGTAGTACTCTGTAACCACCAAACTAGTACCCCATCTCACATGTGGAAGAGGAGAGGATGCAAGATATCCTTATGTTGGATGGTTCGACATGATGGTCAGTAACCGTTTAATTAGACTTTACTTATTAAGAAAATAAACATCTCACACAGCAGGCACGTTTAAGAGTAGGTACCAAGAACACAGCTTAAGCAGCGGTTCTTTCCAGCAATCCTGTATAAATGTCGGGACAAAAATATCACACAAAAATAGTCCTGAAGAGTAATTATTAAAAAGATTTTTAAATCTTTGTTAGTTTTAGTGCCTCCCATCACATCATACCCCATCACATTATTCGAACGGCGAAGGTTTGACCATTAATCACCACGCCTGCTCAAGGTGGATTGACGATTTCAAACTAATAGTTATACATTATAAGTCCAGGTTTCTTCACGATTTCCTTTACCATTTGTTAGTAAAGACTAAATAAACTTAGAAAGAAGTTACATATAACTCAGAAAAAATCACATTACTTGCCAGATTCCAAATGTCCCTCCTCATTCTTGAGAAGCGGACGCCTTAACCACCGGGCCACAACGACCTTGTAGACTAGGAAAGAACAACCCATACATACAAACAAATAATTTACTTAATTTCTGACATGTTAAATTCCATCAACCCAGGGAGCCTCAAAGATGACCCAGAACCGAACTCAAACACAATATCCTTAAGGACTTATACATAAATTACTTTGGCGCTGCTGTCTCGATAACCGCAGCGTTCTGATTGGTTGTGCCCAACTTGTGACACAGTGTGTTTAACTTCGAGAGTAAGTTTACGAGAAATAATAGAATCAACCTGTATACGTTGCTTGTAGGAATTCTGACTTGTATCTATACGGTTCTCCGAAATCTTTTGGTTGTCTGATTCGGTTGCGGAGTCGTAGAAAGCCGTTTTTCTGGCTATACATGTATTGGGATTATGTAAATTTCAAAGCACGGACGGAGTCTGCAGTCTGTTTAGCTTTAATATATAAACATGATTACCTAAATATAATTTAGTAATACTATGTGGCCATGAATACATAACCACATATGCCGTTGTGGTAACAGTTATTAATAGTTTATGTTAATAAGTTAATATTAATGTTCTACATGTTTGCTGTCGAAATTTACGAGCATAAACAGACATCTTTTAACAATTTATATACCAAGATTTCTTACACCTCTTTTTAAATGGTAATAATATGTAGAAGTTTAAGTGTGGAAGATCCACGCTTCGACACGAATGGGTCGGCTCAACTGCAGTGATACCACGGCCTTACAGAAAAACGGCGTGGAACAACCACAGCGTTGTGTTTCGCCGTGTGAGTGAGGTTACCGGACGCCCATTCCTTCCCCTCCCTCAATCCCTAAATTTCCAAATTTCCTAACCCCGAAAAGGTCGGCAACGCACTCGCAACTCCTCTGTTATGGGCGGCGCTGATTGCTTACCATCAGGTAATCCGTCTGCTCGTTTGCCAACCTATTACATAAAAAAGTACTTTCTAAGATAAAGGAAAATGTTGAGAGGAAACCTAGACGTACAATTTCCAATTGTAAGTCTTAGATCGCCAATTGAGTAAGTATGGTGTTTTATGGTCGATTCTTCTTCGCGTGAGAAAAGGTATTTGATCAGCAGTGGGCACCTTTATGTGGTGTGTGTGGTGCACGATAACAGTAATAAATAACTAGTGACGTCATCATATATTACAAGCGTATAGTGTAAACATACATATAATATGTTGTACATGTATGTGCGTAGAGGCTGCGAGCAAAGATATCGTTTAATATGTAATTGTCTGTCAGTAGAATTCGCTAATTTATTTTACTTACAAATATTTATTATAGGAAAGGTGAAAATTTATAAAGAGGCTCGACTATGTTATTATTTTTCAGTAATAAGTTCAACGAAGTCTGACTTTGTGATCAGTAGTACAGGTTCACCCAACGAAAAATAGATGTTACAATTTTTACACCTGATTGGACAAAATTGATCTCAGGCCGGAGTTGCGAGTTAAGCGCAATGAGTCCTCGGCCCAGAGCAGGAGAAGAGCGGGGGTTTTTAGTCAGTGAGAGTTTGGCACTCTCTCTCGCCTTACCCTGGGTGGGAGAAGTCATTTGATGATTTTCCCTTGACAAACAAAAACCCTTTTGGTGCCATGTCAAAAACACACACACACGGAAGCACTCATTAAAAACTGTCCTGAAGCCAGCGATGAAAAATTTCAGCAAAAAATCTAGTTGCGTAGGCAGTAGGTAATCTTAGAATGGCGCATGGCGATTGGACCTGATAATGTCAAGGTCACACAAATTAGTAATTAACATTCACCCTGCAGCACGCCGGCTGCCAGCCCCCGATGCTGGTATAGCCAGCATTACACGTGCTGAGAATTACGTCACAACGGTCGTGAAACCTCGAGGAATTTTCAAGACCTTGTACAACTTGTCTCGGTGATAATCTTGGATATAAGTTAATGTATTTTACTTGTAACAAGTGCATTGCCACTATTTTGGGGAAGGTATCAAGGGGTTTTTTACCGCGCTCTAGAGCAGAAGAAGTAACAAGGTAGATTTTAGTCAGTAAGAGTCTGATACTTCCTCCCTCATACTGGACGGGAAGTCATTCGAAGATTTTCAAAATAAATAACTTTTGCAGAAGGGTCACTCACACGGCGAAACACAGTGCAAACTTTGTTTAATTTTTTCATGCCTGACGGTAGAATGTATTGGATTGATAATTTACTCAACACTATATTTGAATACTACTGATCACCAATAAATTTCATTTCATTTCACGGTGGTCCTGTAAAGCCGTGGTCAAACCGACAATCTGGTCAAACCGACCCATTCGTGCCAAAGCACTAATAAAGTGTATACTGTATGCCATAGACAAGAGTCGATTGTTTTCTTTGTTGAGTTTTTTTTTTCTCAACGCAATATTTTTTATAAGACAGAGCGGAAATATCACGGATATATATGAAAATTTACCCTAATCCGGGATGGATTAGGGTAAATTCTTAGCACTAATAAAAAATAATTACCTATATTACATTTGCATTTTCCACAAGTTGCACTGATTTAATTCGAATCCCTTAATCTAAAAGCAGCAATCTAAAAGAGCATTCTCACTTCCATTGTCAATTGAATGACGGGTAATGAAATCATTAGGGCGCCATTATTATGCCATTACCGCGTCCCAGAAGAGGCGCTACCTTTTAAGCAGCTATGTAATACGTGCCAGCTACTTATACCCACCTGCGTTTGTGTTAATCTTTGTCAAGAAGCAGTGTCAGACATTTAAGCGATTTTTGAATATAAATATTTTTGTAGACGTATAGTATCGAATAAACGTATTGAAATTATGAATAAGATATGCTTTAACTTTTTTAGCGTTACGGGTAAACGGTTAGCACCGCAGCTGGCCGACTGTCTGCCGCTCAACGTGTCGCAGGTTCGATTGCCACATGAAACTAATCTTTGTATGATCCACAAATTGCTGTTCCGGGTCTGGGTGTGATGTGTATATTTTTAAACGCAACCAACTTAAAAACAAAATTAAAACCTAATGAAATTAATCTCAAACACGCTCAATAAACAGCATACAAACAACAACACAGAAAACCAAATAAAACCACAAACCAAACATTACTCCTTTATCTTCCGGTTTTTTGCACGCGGAATTCCGCTGCGCCTATCACCGGCACCGACTAAATCACGTGAAACAAATTTCGCGTTTCATTTCACACGGGACCATTATTGTGTTGTTTGGGAGGTAGTGTTGTCACACCTTTATTGTGGTCTTAAGTTTATAGTTCTTCGGAAATGTTGCTATCTGTTTATAAATATGTAAGTAACAAAAGGAGTTTATTATTGTTTCGAACGTAACTTGTTTGGTTTAATTCATTTATTTCCAAAAAAGAAAAAAAAACACTTTCATGAGAATACAAAATAACATTTAGTTTAATTATCAAATCTCTCTAATATAAGTTAGTAAAAAACTGTTAACATAACACCATCGTAACATCATTTAAGTAATAGATATCATCAGCCGGGAAGGTAAAAAAATAAAAACGACAAAATGTTTTTTTTTGTGTTCTAAGGTTGGCAAACATGCAGGCGGATTACCTGATGGTAAGCAATCAGCGCCGCCCAAGGACACCCGCAAATTCAAAGGAGTTGTGGTCGAGTGCGTTGCCGGCCTTTTAGGGATAGGGTTTAGAATATTTAAGGATTGGGAAGGAATGGGGCAGGGGGAAGGATTGGGCCACCAGTTAATCTCACTCACACGACGAAACACAACACTGTCGTTGTTTCACGCCGTGGTATCACTCCGGTCGACCCGACCTATTCGCGCCGAAGCTTGGCTTTCCCACACTTCTTCTTCACACTAAAAATGCTAACTAGTAGTTAGCATTATAAGTAGTACCATAGTTAATATTTTTTAGTTTAGTTTTTGGTTCATTATTTTTTTTTTATCTTACTCGACTGGATTAATGTAACTTTGAATAAGAAAAGTTTTCTATTATGTATATATTATATATTTAGACACTTCAGATATAAAAATGTTGAAAAAGCTTACATCTATACTTAGATATAATATTATAAAGCTGAAGAGTTGTTTGAACGTGCTTATCTCCGGAACTGCTGCTTGGGATTGGAAAATAATTATTTTTGTGTTTGTTAGTCCGTTTATCGAGGCTTATGGCTAGCCAATCTTATATTATAAATGCGAAAGTAACGTCTGTCTGTCTGTCTTTTCGTCATGCCTAAACTACTGAACCTATTTGTGTGAAATTTGATACAGACATAGTTTGGAACTCGAGAAAGGGCTAATAGGATGGTTTTTAAACCAAAATCTACAGGAAGTCACTATTCCACGCGAAAAATCACGTCACACATCACGCTATGATTTGTAAGAGTTGAGCAGCGGGTGAAACCGCGTGAAAGTAGCTAGTGTTTAGTATTAGACGGTAAATTATTATAAATATTTGCTCCTTCATAGGTGATGTTACTTTTGACGTAATTTATATGAGGTGTTGGTAATATACGTGAACTAGGGCGACGCCTGCTACGTTTAGATACCTCCGGAATTTTTAATAAATGATAAATTGGTTAAATTTTTTTGTCAAAAAATTTTCTTTTCAGGATACATGTGGAACAAGCTTGTTTCATGTGACAAGGTCGGCAAACGAGCACACTATACCTACCATCCCTTGGTGGTTATCATTCGAGAAGTCACAAGCGTGATTACCTTCAGCCTTTCGATTTGTGGATTAAGGAATTTGGTGATTAGCGTTGAGGGACGCAGGATTAAACTAAGATTCTTCTAAAATTCTTTATTGGTTAATTAAGTCTTTATTCGATAATAAGTTTTACTGTATAAGAATATTATAATGCTTAACGCTTTTTTGCACACGTCATCTACATTTCGGAACGATTAAAGGACAGACTCATTAAAGGACAGACCGACAGACAGACATACAGAGCTGAACTTTTTGATAAACTTTTTTTTTGTTTTACTTTCAAAAGTGCCTATGTTATATTTCAAATAAATGATTTGACCTTGACATTGACTTTGATGAAATTTAGAATTTGAACGAATACTTAGATTGATTATAACCATTATTAGTATCATAATAAGCTTTGTCACAATTGCCCGGCCCGACAAAGAGGTATAACTTAACTGCTGAAAAATGTATAACATTACCTATGCAAGACCTGTACTTTCAGAAAACAGCACCTGGCGAATTATTCATGTGCAGTCTGCGCAGATACTTGATATGCAGGTTAAAAAATAAAGGACAGAGACAAGAGCCATTGTTATACTTAATTATATGGGTGTTATTGAAGCCATGTTGCGGGGGCCTGTAGGTTGAGCACCCGCATGAGGGTGAGAGTTCGAAACCTGACAAGTACCAATGAGACTTTTTCGAGTTATATGTACTTTCTGAACAGCAAAAGTCCAAACTCAAGATTTGTCAAAGGGCAATGGAGCGCAGCATTTTAGGTTTTAAGCGAATAGATCGCGTTAGTAACATCACGCTGCGTTCCACAACTCAAATAGCAGATGTCGGAGAAAAAACAGCCAGGCTGAAGTGGGAGTGGGCTGGCCACGTCGCACAAATGCACTCGAACAGATGGGCGAAGGTTGACACTCATTGGACACCAGAAGGAGGTCGACGCCGTCGAGGTCGACCACGGCGACGGTGGTGTGACGATCTGATCATGTACGCGGGGCAAACTTGGCTGGAGATCGCTCTAGACAGAGAAATTTGGAAGGAAAAAGGGGAGGCCTTTGCCCAGCAGTGGGACACACGATAGACTATAAAAAAATGTACTTTCTAGATGAATTTAGATACCACTGACATAAGCTGAAGAAAAACATCGAGAGGAAACCTGGACTAATAATTTACAATTATAAGTTTGAAATCGCCAAGTCCGCCTTAAGCATGAGTTGTGGTTAATGCTCAAACCTTCTCCATGTGAGAAGAGGCCTTTGCTCAGCAATGGGCACTTATAGGCTGATGATGATGATGATCATATTAAAACCATATATTTTGCAACCATTGTTTGGCTCAGTAATCAAAAAATGGTATCCGTCTCTACATATACTAAATCAATTTTTATATTCGTATGCCAAATAACTGTCGAGACATTGTGTTGTGTGTTTAAAAATCTTTTTTATAAATTTACAATGAACATTTATTTGAAAAAATAAGATAAAGAATGAATAATGTATGTGAATACTGTAAATTATTGTATTCGTATATACCTATTGTGTTTGTTGAACTCATATGTTTTATTTTCAGATGTACTCGTAAGCTTATTGTGTGCCTAATGCATATATTTATCGAAGTTTAAAAAACATCTGCGTTTAGTTATTTGATAGAAACAATTTCAATAGCCCTTGTTATTTTTTAAAGATCGAATAGGTTCGTTTATTTTGTTTTCTATTGAAGGTTTTGAGACTATATTGTATCACATGTACATGTGTAGGTAAATGGAAAAAAATATTGTTGTTAAATCAATATGTAGCTTAGTGGTAAAACTCATTTAATTAAACCATTAGAAAAGGAATTAGAATAATTATCTATTCAGTTAGTCTGTTAATTAAGGGCTGATTTTTCAATGGTAAGATAAAAGTTACCTGGGGAATAATTATGATGCTGTCGCGTCAGAATATTTGTATATAAGGCAGTGAAACCAACATTTTTTTCCTCAGATAACATTTATCTGACTGAAGTCGTTGTAAAATTCTAATAGCTAAATTATACTTACTTTATTGCACACATGCACAAAAAAGAAACATGTTAGATGCAATATAAGGTAGTTGTGATTAAAATGGTCAGCCAATCTTATCAGACCAGACGATCTGTTTCCGACAGCTTTGGATAGATTTCTCTTCATTTTTTGGAAGATTTGGATCTATGAAAGAAACTTGTGCTGTTTATTCCTCTTGACGATTCATTGTTGGTCGCAGTTCTTAAACAACGACAATATCTTGCCTGTTCTTCTTCCTTCCTTCTTCACTGGATATAATGAGAAAAACGGTCACTTGGACTGGACTCTGAGCAGAAAAAGGGACGGGGTGCTTTTTAGCCAGTAACAGTCATTGTTGATTTCGGTATCTCAAAAAAGTCATTTATCAAAATCTTATCTAAATACCTAATTAAGCTACTTCCCTGCAACAGGTTGTTTATCTTATGTATATGTGGGTAACAGTCATTGTTGATTTCGGTATCTCAAAAAAGTCATTTATCAAAATCTTATCTAAATACCTAATTAATCTACTACGTTGCAATATTTTTATCTCACGTAAATGTATGTTATGTCTTAAACATTGCCAAATTCTAAGATTATAGGCAAGCGTTTGATACATTCGATTTTGGACTGCATCTGTCATCCGTTTCAATTCGGTCCTTGGACATTCATGTTCAACCAACTTAGGAGTTTCGATAACCTTTACAAACACACATGACATCACACCATAATATACCAAGTGGCAGACATCTTCAGGGCATTTTCAACTTTAAACTATGGTTATAACTTTGAAAAGCGATTAAATAACTTTTGCCAATATAGAGAGATTTGGAGTACTGGTATTCGTCTGTCTTAATACGGTAATAAGTTGGTTGTCTAGCCCGGAACAATATGTTTTTTTTTTATGTAATAAGAGGGAATGGACTCCTGCAACATTAGAGAAGCTGGCCTTTTTAGGAAACAACAAGTTTCTTAATCATATTGCATAATAACGCCGCCATTACGTAATCGCTAAATTAAATTGTGTGTGGTGGAACCGTGGAATAGACATTTTGATCAAATGATTAAGCGCGAGCGTCGCTTCCATTCGTTCAGAGTGTTGCCACTCATCAGATCATTATATTATTTTTTCTTTTCTCCATTCATATTATGTATTAAGTTTTATAGTAGTATATTATCGATATATATATATATATCACTTTTTAATATCTTATTTTATTTATTATTAGTTTTAAGTTTCTGCAGCGATTAGCGTCAAATGTTAGTTGTCGGCCATTGCTGGAAATCAGCGCTGCGACACTGTCTCGCATATCATATGCTGATCGAGGGCCATTTCGCGTGCTTGTGACGCATATTTTTCCTTATTTTACTCTTTTTATATTGTATTACCATGCTTTTTTGTTTTTATGTTTATACACTTGTTTGTTTTGTGTCGTGTGTGCGTTCTAGACACGAATAAATACTTTTTCTTTCTTAAATGACATTTTAATTTTTAGTGAAGGAACTTGAATTATTTGCTAAGTACTTAAATTGTTTCAAAGATATGTCTATAAAAGTTATTCAGGGTATTATTTGTAAATAGTACCACACCACAAACAGAGAGACTCGATCAGAACTATTTCGTTGGATCCATTTAATATATAACATAATGTTCGACCGTAAAGTTCCCTTCGTTTTAACTGTTAGTTAACTTAGTTTCTTCACATGGTTACCGAATCATGTGAGAAACTACGAAGACATCGGATCAAGTACTGACTTGACTTACCTAATCATAAAAAAAATGTTTCACTTTACAATGCAATCAAATATTACAATAAAGTCTCGATCTCGATCATTGTTTTTACGGCATACAAACTTCAAATTCTTATCTTTCTCAAACTGAGTTTTATGAAATAAATAATAATGTTTATTTGACACGGAAAATACATGATGTCACAGCTCACGATCCCATACAATTTTTTTAGAAAACTGTTGATACTTTGACTGTCCAAAATAACTAATGAATGTGACATGCTTCTCTCAACCACCATCGAGAAGGTATTCCAACGTTACGACGTCCAATATTCTTCTTTTGTTTTAAAAATAGTTTATCAACGTTGTGCGTTACATTTACGTTGTTTTAAAACTTGTAAATATCTTCACCTTATTACTATTTTTTTAAACAGTTTTAGAAATCGATAACCCTCTTTGACAATTTGTGTAAAAAAATCACTTTAATACTCCAATTTTATATCGTGTTATGTGCCGTGTTGTGTACCTGTATTAAAAATAATGTTTGTTCCAGGACCACACACACGAACAAGCCTGGCAGTCCCGGCACACTGAACGGAGTGAATGGCAGCGTCCACGGCGAGGCCAGGCAGGCGCAGTCTAAGAAGACCATCATTAGGATGCTGGGTAAGAAACAGATACAGATAAATGTCAATGATTAATAGGTATTCTGTTTTTAATATATTTTGTTACAATGGCAACAGAACTATATAATCTGTTCAAATTTCAACTGTCTAGCTTTCCCGGTTCATGAGATACATCCTGGGTACACATACAAACTTCTTTGTGTAGGGAACTCTAAAAATCTGAAGCATATTAAAGTCTGCAGTGTGATTCTGTAAGGTAAGATTTCATTCTAAACTTCGAATCTGAATCCGCTGTGAGTAATAGTACACTAGAGCTACTCTCACGAGTTGAACTAAATTGACGGCAACATTTTGATAGATAAAGTGATGAAGATGACGTTAAAAGTGGCATTCTAAAATGAAATTTCCCCTTACTTCGACTTTCACACTCGAACAAGATTAAAAATAAACCAAATTTTATAGAATCGACGTGCTGGTGTCGCACTTGCGATGTCAACCTTTTAGGGAAAACAGGTTTTGGGAATTTAAGATTGGACACGGCGAAACATAACGCTATGTATGTTTCACGCAAGTTTTTTGTAAAGCAGTAGCACGTACCACTCCATTCCAGATGGCCCACTCGTGAAGAAGCATAGCCCTTTCATACTAAAAAAAATACTCAATTCTTGGACATGTAAAAATTCAACAACAAGTTTAAACCTTAATAATATCCACAGTTGTTACAACAACTGTTTATGTAAGTCCAGCGAAGTAATAAAAATCAAATAGGGTAAGACAGCTTACAATTAATCTCTCCTAGCATCGCTTTAGCCCGATACAATAAGTGTTGTTTCCCTTGCAATAGATAAATCTTGTTTAGAAGTCGACAGCCAACCAATCATTAGTTTCTTGTTGTCTTATCGGTTGAGGTCGCAAGGTTTACTGGCTAATAAGGGTTTGAGAGTTTCATTTTTGAATTGTAACTATTTGTGAAACATATTAAATTTTTTGAAAACTAGCGAACCGTAGTAGTTGGTAGTCGGATACCTATCCTTCGCACGGGTAGGTATCCGACTACCACGTCAGTCAATTGTTTTTTTAGCAAACGACCACAGCTCCGAAAGGATTGGTAATTTCCGATATTGCCCTTTACTTTTCTAAAGTTTTCTTTCGTAAGAATCTTCAAATAAAAATAACGCACATAACAAAAAAAGAATCAGCAAAATTGGTCCAGTCGTTATTGAGTTATGCGCTTACCAACACATTTGCGATTCATTGTTATATTATAGAAGATAACTTACTCACTCAGCGACTCAACTCGCTCAACGAACTCAAACTCGACGTTGTCATGACGCGCGGCTAACATATCGTCATATCGTCATAAGAGAAAACTGATCATCATGATCATTATTAAGAGTCGAAAATCGACAATTTACTTCTCCCGATCACAGTCAGGCGAGAGGGAGTGTCACACAGTTACTAAAAACCCAAAAAGTAATTTAACCTCATATGTAACAGGATTGCATGGTTAGCGCAGTAACTAGCTACTGCTCATTATGTCGCAGTTACAATTCTTGTTCAGAACAATTTACAAATTTATTAACTCGCAATGATACATAAGAAAATACGGTAGTTTCCAACTAGTCAAATTCAATACTTTTATCTAAACGTCAAAAACGATTCTTTTCTATGAAATTTGTATGAAAAACTGAGTTATGACGTCATATTTTATAGCTTACTTATTTCTTAATAATTCGCTCAATAATAACTAAAACTTAGTGTATAGACCGATCGTGTAATTTTTAGTTAATATAGTTATTTTTCTATATTTTCTTGTATTGAAACGTCGACTTAATTCATTTTTGACCTAGGAAGCTACCCAATTGTAGTGCGTGTATTGGATTTTTGATCTCCGCCTGTCCTATTAGTAAATAAAAATCGTTTTGTTCCACTTCAATAGGATTTCAAAGCGAACACTAACAGAATTACCGATGAATTACAAAGTAATGATCAAAGAGTAGCCAATTGTAACCGCATCTGATTTGTGGCCGCGTGGTGGCGCTGCAATCGCAAATGGCGGTTTCATCCACCAATCAACATTACTACGGAATAACGTTACATTCAGTGATATTAATTAAATACCAAACGAATTAATTTATTAGATTGAATATCTGTGTTAGAATTATATAAATTAATTTCTTTCATAGAATTTTGATTGAACAAAGCAAATTAAATTATATTAATTGGTACGTGTGTGAAACATATTGATACCTAGAACACGCCCGCCACTAACTACCTACCTACTAACCTAAGTCTTAGTTTTATTCAAAAATATAACAAAATATTTTTGCTTTAAAATTTCCCTTTTTTGAGCTGCAAGTACCTATCTTCGAATGATTACCACCTGGTTCGCTAGATAGAGCGAGAGGTAGCATCAGACTATTACTGACTATAACCCAGCCAGTTCCTTCTCCTTCTCCAGGTAATATTACACTAGCTAAATTGATTTCTTAATAAAATTTTACATTTAAAAGATATAAATGATTTTATATTAGTCGATGTAATTTTTAAACGTAGGATAACAATAAATATATATAATAAAAGGATAACGTACTAGGATTTTTTCCTGTTTAGTGAGTGCGTTTAAAACATAGAAAATGACATTCATATAAATGTGAGAGAGCCATACTTCAGCACGAATGGGTCGGCTCGACTGGAGTGATACCACGGCTGCACAGAAAACCGGCGTAAAACAACCACAGCGTTGTGTTTCGCAGTGTGAATGAGGTTACCGGAGGCCCAATCCTTACCGGTCCCAATCCCTCCTCAATCCCTAAATCTCCAAATCCCTAATCCCTAAAAGGTCGGCAACGCACTCGTAAATCCTCCGTTGCGGGTGTCAATGGGCGGCGCTGATTGCTTACCATCAGGTAATCCGTCTGCTCCTTTGCCGACCAATTACATAAAAAAAAAATGCAGGCCCGGAACAAAAATTCGTGAATCACACAACGTTTTGTTTCGTGCAGGAACCGAACCCGCGACACGTTGCACAGCAGCCAGTAGCCCATCCATTGCACTAACTGTGCAGTCAAAAGTTTTATACATATAAGATAAAGGGTACAAAATTATACAGAATCTCTACTTAATCTAAAATAATATCAGGCTGAACTCTGAACCGTGCTATTATAAGTTAAGACTTTAAATTTTCTCGTATACCAACATCCCACACGAGATCCTAGCTTTAAGTGTTCCAAGTAGTCCAGGTTTGAGTTTGAGATTATAACAAAAATAACGTCTAGCTTACACTATATCAAAGTCACGGAGGTATCGCAAAATGTCAACAAACAGGGCTTAAATTGAAGTGGTTGGTTTTAATACAGGCAGCGCATCATGTTATACCAAATTTACAGTATTACTACTACTACTATGGCTAAATTATTGTGTTTAAATACATTTACAGATAATTTCAGAAAGGAGGGTAGCTTGATCTGCTGGTGTCATAACAAGCATAATGAAACAACGAAATAAGAGTTACCTATTCCTAAAATACCTTCAAAAGTAAGAGTTAAATTAATATTTTATTTTTATACTAGCTACTCGCGTAAGCGTGATGTTTTATAGCCTATAGCAATCAGGAACATTGTAGCTATCTATCAGTGAAAGAATTTTTGAAATCCGACCAGCGCGCAGCGGTTCCAAAGATTACCCCCTACATACAAACTTACAAATTTTACCTCTTTATAATATTAGTATAGAAAAACCTCATTGCTGTGCTAAGTAATCTATGACTACTAAGAGCTAGTCACGTTTCAGTAACGTACACGTAATATATTAAAATACTAATGCTTAATTTAAATAAATATAGTTCGGAATATATTTCTAGATCTAGCGTTTAATCAGACTATTGCATCGTATTTAAATATCCTTTCGATGTGTAATTCGATTCTCCCAAAGGACCACTATCTGCTTGACTTAATGATACATGATCTTATCTCATTACATCATCTTCATATATCTATCTTATATATAAAAATGGATCGCAAAATGTATTGGTAAGCGCATAACTCAATAACGCTTGGATCAATTCTACTGATTCTTTTTTTGTTATGTGTGTTAGGGTTTTTTTTTTTGTGAGGGGAAAATCATCAAATGACTTCTCCCGCCTAGGGCCGGGCAGGAGGGAGTGTCAGACTCTTACTGACTAAAAACCCCCCTGTTCCTTCTCCTGCTCTGTGCCGAGGTCGCGGTACCTCATTGCGCTTACCCCGCAACCCCGGCTGAACATCAGCCCTTTAGGGCCCCGTCTGTGGTGGTCGAATGGCTCTCTGAGGCGCGCGCGGAACGCTACGCGCCGTACGCTCGGGCCTGGTTCTGGTCGGGCGGCGAGCTGCCCTTACTCGCCGACCGCAGGCCCGTGCTTACGGTGGCCGGAGATCGTCCCTCGATCCCCGACGCCCGTAGTGTCGCCAGTTGCGGCTGCTGGGGCGTGAGGAGGAGGATTGCTCCCTCACGCGGGCCGCCTCTCTCTTTGCGAGCATGACTGCTTCACAAAAGGAGGAGACGGCGTCCCAGTTCCTCTCACTCCGCACCATGGCCTCGACTAAGGCCGGGCGCGAGAGGTCGCCGCCGCCGATCACTTCCCTGAGGATACGGCGGTGCTCAGCCCAGGCAGGGCATACCGCTACCGTATGCTCCACCGTATCCTCTAGGTGGTCCTCACAATGACGACACTCGGGCGTTTCCTCTTCCGCTGAATCCGAAACAGGAACCTACCGAAGCTGCCATGCCCGGTAAGCACCTGCGTCAGACGGAAGGTGAGGACGCCGTGGCGTCTCACAAGCCACTCCTCAAAGAGGGGTCTTACCGCTGCTATGGTAGCGTGCCCGGCCCTCGGTTGCGACAGTCGTTGTTTCCACTCTGCCATGAGATCTCGCCGGAGCTCATTCCGCCACGCACTAATTTGGCGCGGCAGAGGATCTTCGCCCCGGCGACGCGCGTCTGCGCGCAAACTGTAGACGCGCGCGAGAGCCTTCGCTTCTAGATCCCACGGCGGTGATCCGGCAAGGAGGTTCGCCGCCTCCCCGGAGATCGTGCGATACCCGCGGATTACTCGGATAGCCATGACCCTCTGGGACGCGACCAGCGTACGAGCCGGCCGCTGCTTCAAGTCCGGCGCCCACACAGGGGCACCGTAGAGGGCCATGGATCGCACAATCCCCATATACAACCTCCGGCAGGAGGCGTCTGGCCCCCCGAGGTTGGGAAGGAGCCGCTTGAGCGCGGCCCCAGACCGTTCCAACTTAGGGGCTAAACGACGAAAATGCTCCGTGAAGTTCCATCGGCTGTCGAGGACGAGACCCAGGTACTTCATCGCCGACTCGACGCCGATGGTAACTCCTCCTGCCGTTATTTGGGACCCACCTGGAGGTGGCGCGTCCGACGGCCATAGAAACACATGGCCTCGGACTTGTGGAGCGCCACCTCGAGTCCCAACTGCCGGATCCTTGCAACGACTGTCGCAACCACTTGTGACATCAGGTCGGCCGCCGCCTGATGCGACCTCCCGTTCGCCAGCACCAGCGTGTCGTCAGCATAACAGACAATGCTGACGCCGCTCGGGAGGTCGGTGCGTAGCACCCAATCGTACCCGATGTTCCACAGGAGAGGTCCCAGGACCGATCCCTGTGGGACACCGCGCGACACCTCTCGCCGATTCCACACGCCCCGGTGACCGAGGTAGATGACGCATCTGTCCGTCAAGTAAGCCTCGACTACACGACGGAGATAGGCAGGCACCCGGTGATACCGGAGTGCCTCCAAAATGCAGCTCCAGGGCAACGAGTTGAAGGCGTTGGCGATGTCCAGCGACACCGCCACGACGACTCGCCTCCCGGCCAACGCTGTCCCCGTCGTGAGGTCCCTCACGCGCATGATGGCGTCCACCGTAGAGCGCCCTCTGCGGAAGCCGAACTGGCCGTCCGCTAAATCCGGCCCCCTTCCAGACAGGTGCCCGACGAGGCGGTCTGAGATTATCCTCTCGAACAGCTTTCCCACCTCGTCGAGCAGCACAATGGGCCGGTACGCGGACGGAGAGTCCGCAGGACGCCCCGGCTTCTTCACGAGGACCAGTTTACCCGTCTTCCACGACAGCGGAAACTGGCCTCTCTCCAAACATGCGCTGAACAGACCAAGTAGTCGAGGCCTGAGAGCCTCCGAGGCCAGGACCCAAACCTTGGCATGCAGCCCGTCAGGTCCTGGGGCGGTATTCTTGCCGCTCAGCCGGCGCACCGCCACTCTCAAATCTACCTCGGTCACTTCCGGAGCGGATTCATCGTCGTCGTCGTTGTAGCCCGCATTGGGCACCGCAGGGGGCGGGGGCATAGCCGGAGGCGTGTAACCCATCTGTAATCGGGGTAATAGCGCCCCAACCACTTCGTCCACGACCTCCGGCCGGAGACTCTGAGTCAGTGGGGGCGCCCAGGTGCGGAGCTTATCACGCACCATCCGGTAGGGGCGTCCCCACGGGTCTCTGTTCAGAGTCTCCAACATCTCCCCGCGGGCCCGATCTTTGGCCCGCCGGATCTCCACCCTGAGGGTGGCCTTCGCCGCCCTGTACTCCTCGTATAGCTCCGCCTCTCTGGTTTCAGCGTCCAGAGGGCGGAGACGGAGCCTGCGGTGCCTGGTGTATCGGCGTCGCGCTGCGGTGCACTCGCCGCGCAGGTCTGCCAATTCCTGCGACCACCAATACACCTGGCGCTTGCGTTGGCACAGCCGGATCCGGGGCATCGCCACGTCGCACATCCTTGACATGGCGTCCTGGAGCCATCTCGCCTCCTCGTTAATGTCGGCTGGCCTGACCGGTGGTATCACCCAGGCCTGAACGACTGCGGCTTCCAGGAAAAGCTCCCGGTCCAGTTGCCTAAGCGCCCAACGCGGGCCACACGGAGCCTGTCTGACTGGCGGGTCTGCGGACTCGGCGGAAACGTCGAACCGTATATACCGGTGTTCCGAAAACGTCTCCACCTCCTCCATGACGCGCCAGTCGACAACGCGCGATGACAGAGCGGGGCTAGCGAACGAAATGTCCACCACTGACTCGCCCCGCATCCGTACGCACGTGGGGACAGAACCCCGGTTCAGCACGACTAGGCCTGTCTCCAGAGCCCAGTCTTCGACCATCCTTCCCCGGACATCAGTGAGCCGGGAACCCCAAGCCAAATTCTTGGCATTGAAGTCCCCGAGGACCAGCACGGGGAGGGGACGGAACCCGACGACGACGGTGACTAATTCCCTGAGGGAGTTGTGGAACTCGACGAGAGTTCGGTTCGGAGAGAAGTACACGCCCACCACAGCGATCTCTCCGAACCGAGCCGCGACGCAACCCCTGCCTCGCTGAGGCCCTTCGGGGGTTGGGGTACCGGTGGCGGCCGACGAGATGATGGTCACCGAGCCGTCCAGGTCTGACACCCAGTGTTCCCTGGGTGGAACGAAGTACGGCTCGGAGACCACAGCAACATTGATCGACCACTGCGCCATGCTCTGGAGCAGGAGATCCTGAGCAGCGACGCAGTGGTTGATGTTCGCCTGGAGGAGGCGTAATGGAGCCATTATTGGGTATCCATCACGACCTCCTCTCTGACGGCAGCGGCGACAGCAGCAGTCGCAGTAGTATTTGCGACTGCGGCGGCAGCGGGAGCGACGGTGGGAGCGGTGGAGGTGGCTAAGGGCCTACCTTTGCTCCTGGGCTTGGTGGGGGGGGAGCAGGTTCTGCCCCCAGCCCGGTAATCGGCCGGCTTGCCAGCCGCCGCACATACTACGCAGTGCGGTGGGGCGGTACAAGCGCCGGCCCTGTGACCGGGCTGACCGCAGCGGAAGCAGCGGTCGCTGCGGTCCACCTCTGAGGTGCACTTGGCACCCACTTGGTGACCCACGAGGCAGCGGAAACACCTCAAAGGTCTGGGTTCCAGGAGCTTCACCTGCGCTGAAACCCAGCCCACCAGGAGCCTTTTGCCCTCTGCCAGCTTTTTGGCCGCTGTGACGGGGCAGCTGACTACCACAGTCCGCAGCCCCGTATTGTCCGGGCGGATAGTGCCTGCCTTCACCTGGTCAGCAGGGCACCCCCCCGTCCTGGCGACAGCGGCCGCCACCTCATTCTCCGTCACGGAGTCGTCCAGGCCCATGATGCGTAGCTCCAGGCATTTGGTGGGCCTGGACACGCGAGCTTCGTCCGCCGCAATGCACGCCCTGAGCCTCTCGGCAAAGGCGTCAGCGGACGGGCCGCTGGCCGCGCCGGGGACCTCCAAGAGACGGGCTCCAGTGGCAGTGACCCTCACTGCGAACCCGTCGGGTGCCCCAAACTCCGCGGGATATACCGCCCCCTTCAATTTGGCGAGGACCTCGCCATACGTCACCCCCTTTTTCGCCGCGTCCGGCTGTAGGGTGATAACTACAGCCGAAGATTTTGGGGCGAGGAGCATTGCCGCAGCGCGCTTCTCCTTGCGCCGCTGCTGTCGCCGCTGCCGCTGCTCCTTCTTCCGGAGCTTCCTCCTCTCCTTGGCGACCTTCCTCACCTCCCCCGCCACTTGCCACTCGCTACCAGCACGCGACTCAGACGGCGGAGTAGGTGCCGATGCGGCTGGGGCTCCAGCCGCTGCTCCTCTTCGTCTGCGGCTCATCGGCGCAGGAGCCAGCGCCGAGGGAGACTCGGGCGCCCTCGTCGGTGACAAGGCTGGCGGCGCTTTCGCCCCCTTCTTCACCGGTGCGCTGGCTTGTGCCCCACGGCTGGTTGGCGGCTTGGGCTTAGCCGCTGCGGCAGCATACGACCCGGCTGCGAGTGGAGGTCGCAGGAGCCTACCCTCCAGCACGTCGAAACGCTGCTGGAAGGCGGCCATCTCCCGCCGCATAAGGCCGAAAAGGTCGGCCTCCGCTGGCTGCGCAGGTTGGGATCGGACTCCCCGAGCTGCGGCGAGCTCTGTTTTTGCTGCCCGAAGCTCAGCCTCCAGGGCAGTATTGGCAGCCACCAAGCGGGATAGCTCCCGCCGCATTCCAGCCAGCTCTTTTTGCATAGCGGCCATCTGCCGCTCAGCTGAGCCCGGCTGGGATACCGCCGACATAATAGCGGCTTCCGCGTGTTTAAGCACTCCATTTCTGCCAGCCTGGGTTTTTTGCCCAGCCAGCATGCGGATTGCTTCCTTTACTTGGAGGCGGAGGCTCTCAGCGCCGCCTACAGAACCCTCACCACCGGAGGCCTCCATCTCCGAGGAGTCCGAGGGGGCAGCCTTTCCCAGGGCGCTCCCCTCCGCTGCCAGCCGCTCTGCCGGCTCAAATCGGCTCCCAGCCGCCCTTGTGGAGCCCTTCCCCTTGCCCCTACCCCGCGCAGCCGTGGGGATTTTGGGGGCTGGGGCCTCCTGCTCGTTGGAAGACGGCTCCAACCTGGGACGTTTAAAAACGCCCCGGTCTTTCTTGTGGCGCAGCGCGATGCTGACGCCAGACAATGATGAGTCGGACTCTGAGTCCGACTCCTTCCTGCTAGAGGCACGTGCACACGATGCATCTAGCGCCTCGGTTATATTCGCAAGCGAGCTGACCTCGCTTGCGTTCTCCTCACCGGTAGGTGGATTTTTATTTTGTTTTTTTATAGACATCTCCATTGAAGTCCCACGAGTATGGGGGAAATAAGAGGTCCGCCCAGGGAGAGCCCCCTGTCCCTGGGTAAGTGTGCATTTGTCTCCCAACTAGGGGGTCCGGTCCCCTAGCTGGGGGTGCGCTCACGACTGATCCCACTCCTCAGCCATACATACCCTCGCCGCGCACCAGAACTTAGTATTGGAGGAATTTTTTATAGAGGTTATCTTCCTCGCGGTCCGAGCGGTTAAGCCAAGACCCTCGTCCCGGTCCGAGTCATAAAACATGACCATGATCTCTTCCCGGATTACGATATCGACGGGTGCAGTCGGGCGCAGCTAGTGCCCCGATGCTACTAATTGGCAGGGCGAATCAAATAAATATTCTGAGCATCATATAAATATTATTTGGTTGAAACCTGCTTTATTAGACAGAATAAACTTTGTGCTTGTGTTGAATGTGTGTGTCGAATTAAAATTTATTATAAAAAAACTTAATATCTATAAATATGTATTTATTATGCAACTCATTCCTTAATATTTGGAGTTGCACCCACGACACAATGAAAGGCCAGTATTTCGAATCTCGGATTACAATGATAAGTTCTATACACCAAGCCTTTTTGAGTATACCAGAAATATCAAAATATCAAATTCCAAATGCGTTACCTGAGCCTATTTTCGGCATCTCAACCTAAAGAGGTCAAAGGTGACAGAATGTTTGGGATTTATCTGAATGGAGTGTAAAGTTGTCTCCTACCGACCTTTCAATGATTGATTTGGGTCAGAGCTGAGGTGAGGGGGATATTGTGAACTTGTAGTTCATTTTAAAGCCTGTCATCAGCTTAAAGCTATCCAGTATTTGGTAAGGATTGACATAGGTTATTTTGGGACATTTTGGTAGTAAGCCAGTGACAATCCTTTTAAATTGATTGCTTGAAGGAGTTGGAAAACATGTTCATAGAAACACTTTTTTTTAATTAAAACTTTGCCCTATTCTAGTGTTTTCTCCTGTGTTGTGGGTTCGTTTACAAACAAATATTTTACAATTTCACATATACATCACACCCAGACCCGGAACAACAATTTGTGGCACACCGAATCCGCGACACGTTGCACGGCAACTGGTTGCCCAGACACCGCGTCAACCGTCCAGTATTATTGTCTCGTGTTAGACAACACGTAGTCACAAACTGTGTTGTTGTTGTTAATTTCTCGGAATTAAAACAAAACATCAACAGTAATGAGGTAAAAATGTAACAACAAGAAAGTCGATGAAATTCTGTGAAACGACTTGAACACATTACGAGAAATAGGTACCCAGTATCCATAGGAGAGTGTTTCAGTCTAGCACGCATTAGTGGTCTAGCCTAATGCGAATCTTGTGTAATCACTCCTCACTCAATGAAACTTCTCCTTGTTATGTGTCGGAGCACTCACACACTCCAACTTGTAGAACTATAAATTAAATATTCTTCAAAGTGTCCAAATATACAAAGTTTTATACTTGGCACAGTTAAAATTTGCTCTCTCATGAAATATTGTTTCGCGAAGATAATTAATTTCCTTGCTTGCTTGAAGGCTTCATTTTAAGAGCATATTATTCAAGCAAGAAGGTTTCATTTTAAAATCGTATTATAAAGTGTGACTTGATAGCAAATGTATCTTTGATTGGTTAGATTTGTGCTTAGGTAGAAGAAATAGGTACTACGAAATCATTAGTAATAAGGCCGCAGATATACATTTTTTTAAAGAGTATTGATGGAGTGTTTGATTGTTCGTTTTTATGCGAGCGCAAAACGGAACGTTCGAGATCCTTCGTTAACTGACAAACTGATAACTACTACTAATTCTTACATGACGTTTCAAAAATGTTTGTACAATGATGAAGGTAAAAAAATTAACTGTAACGTAGGTATGAATGAATAAATGTGTTAATTTACACTTTATAACAATGAAACAATGAAACAATGAAACAATGAATTTATTTTTGCAAATAGGCCATAAAACGGCACTTTTACACGTCAATTTATATGTGAAAAACTAGATGAAGCCGGCATTTCCTATCTGACTACTCTGAGAAGAAATGCAGAAACAAACTCAGAGGTCAGTCCCTTTTCAAGTCCAGACAATGTAAAAATAACATAATGTGAGAGAATCGTGCAAGTTCATTATGTAGTGGTCTTTTGAGGAAAGAACCACACCAGTTTAAGTGGACCCGTTCTGAAGACAGGCACGCAAGTGTCAGTTTGCAACCAGTATAGCTAGTGCTGCTGAGTTGTCCGACGAACAATACCGATCTAAAGAACATTTGGGTGGGTCGCGCAAGTACTCAAACTGTCAGAACGCAGATAACTGGTAATCAAAAAGCACGGCAAGTCTCACACGGTCCTTACACTAACAATAATATAAAATAATAAAAATGTCAATAAATAAATAAAAAAAAATGTCAAATAAAAAATAAAATGTCACAATAGGTGATTATGTCATTGTATAAAAAATAAAAAAATAAACGTAATGTCAAATTGTATATAAAATTGTAACTTATGTTACAAACATGTCAACATGACCTGTGCAGACATTACAGCGGCTCATTCCCATGCCTGACTATCCTCTAAGTAGTCTTTTATTTTATAAAATGCTTTACAGCAAAGTTTAGCCTTTATTACACTTTTAAATTTATTGAGGCTCAAATTTTGAATATCGCTAGGAATTTTATTGTAAAAGCGTATACATTGACATCTAAACGAACTAGTTATTTTCTGAAGCCTGGAGGCAGGGACAACATATTTGTTTTTCCCCCTCGTGTTAATATTATGTATATCACTATGCTTCTTAAATAAGCTTTTGTTTTTATGAGCGTGAATTACATTTTCATAAATATATTGTGAGGCAACCGTCATTATCTTAGTTTCCTTAAATAATTCTCTGAGCGAATGCCTCGGACTAAGATTATAGATTGATCGAATAGCCCTTTTCTGCAGAACAAAAATAGACTGAATGTCAGCAGCATTCCCCCACAACAAAATACCGTATGACATGATGCTGTGGAAATAACTAAAATAAACTAACCGCGCTGTATCTACATCTGTTAAATTTCTAATTTTTTTAACGGCATATGCTGCAGAACTGAGCTTCTTCGACAAGCCATCTATATGAGGGCCCCACTGGAGCTTAGCGTCCAGGGTTATACCTAAAAAGACAGTTGTATCTACAGGACTCAACTCCTCGCCCTTGACAAGCACACTGGTTTTTACCTGTTTAACATTTGGTGTTGTGAATTTAATACATTTAGTTTTAGTTTCGTTTAGTAATAAGTTATTAACACCAAACCAGTGAACTATTTCTGAGAGAGCACTGTTTACATTTTCAATAACTAATTGTCGTCGTCTGAGTTTGAATAATAGTGAGGTATCATCAGCAAACAGCACTATCTCGTGTTTATCCCTTACAAGGTAAGGCAAGTCATTAATATAGATAAGAAATAAAAACGGGCCGAGAATAGAACCCTGCGGAACACCCATCTTCACAACAGACCCGGCAGAAACCACTCCGTTTACTTCAACTCTCTGAACCCTATTACTCAGGTATGAGGTAAGAAGGTCCAGAGATGCACCTCTTATTCCGTAATGGGATAGCTTCCTGATCAGTGTATCATGAAGCACACAATCGAATGCCTTGGATAAATCACAAAATATTCCCAAAGCGTCGCTTGAGTCCTCCCACGCGTCGTAAATGTGATTAAGAAGTTCAACACCGGCATCAGTTGTTGAACGACCCCTTGTAAATCCGAACTGTTTCGCATGTAATAATTTATTTCTATTAAAAAATCTTTGCATTTGATCTAAAATAATTTTTTCAAAAATTTTACTGAACGTAGGATGTTACTCATGATGTGGCTTAGGCAATATTTAAGTACAGGAGACCCATCCGAATCACGAAAATCCGAATAACGAATGGGTCAGCTGGACTAGATTTATATTTAATTTTTACTAGAAATTATCGTAGACCCAATCTACCCTTCACCTAAATCCTTAAATCTCGACCTCCAGCTGAATGGCCAATGAGCAACACCAACTGCTTGCTATCCGGCAGCTTGCTTGGGGCACACTCCGGTTAAAAAAATGTTGATGCTTCCTTATAAACCATAGATTCTTCAACTTTACAATTTACGGAAGGTAAGCGAACGAACTGGCTATAGTAACACTAAGCCTAGCGTCTTATAAAAACTTTACCTTCCCTCTGAGTGTAACAACTTGGAATGTACCTCCGAAGTAAATAGAAACTTTGTTCTTATTTTGTCGTCAGTTAGTTGGCAATTTACTGTGGAATCGTGTTGTTTGATTAGAACCACACGGACTCGACAAGGACCTTCTGGGACTCGTTATTGTGACCAACAATACAAGCACAGTATCGTCCCTCCTCATAATAAGAAAAAAACACGGCGCGTGACATTAAATCTTGTGGATGTGGTATAATATTTATTTTTACAATGCCTGAAGAGCTGACAAGGATATTAATAACTAGCTATTCTTACGCGGTTTCACCCGCTGCTTGGCTCCATTTGATCGTAGCGCGATGTTTTATAGCCAATAGCATTCAGGAACATTGTAGCTTTCTATCAGTGAAAGAATTTTGGCAATCCGACCAGCGGTTCCAAAGATTACCCCCTACATACAAACTTACAAATTTTACCTCTTTATAATATTAGTATAGAAGAATGTATCGGATACTTACTTATATAGGTATGAGTAAAATGAAACAGGCTTTAGCAATATTAGACAACATGCTTATCAAACAATTTTAAATACCTCTAATAACAATTTTAGGAAGCTTTCAAGAGGGTCTTCACTAGCTTGCGTTTGCTATATTGTCTAAACAATCAGTGCCTGTACCTGTAGTGTATCTAGAAAATCTTTAGAACACGTTTCTCATTTACAAATCTCTAGACTTTCGACACATTTGGAAACTAGACGACTAGGTAATGTCAATACTTTTTTTGTAGTGTCGAAATGGACAGACTTGGCTATGACTTTATGTTTGTTTTTCGTGTAATTCTCATAACTTTAAAACTATTTTTAAAATAGTGATACATGTATGAAGTATGTCCAAAAATTTATGAATTATTTATAATTGAGACAATTACACCAAATCTTGACCTTCTCCCTTTGTTGCAGCTGCGGTGGTGGTTGCGTTCTTCGTGTGCTGGGCTCCGTTCCACTTCCAGCGCCTCTTCTTCATCTACGGCACCTCCTCACGGCACTACCACACCATCAACGAGTACCTGTTCTACGTGGCCGGCGCCTTCTACTACATCTCTGCTACTGTCAATCCCATACTTTATAACGTCATGAGCCATAGGTCAGTATTGCTGGAGGTTGGAAATTTATTGATGATCATTGGTTTTCTAAAAGTTGCATAGCATTGCAAATTTAATGTGGCTATTGTAAGTTTTGATAAAGTTTACAATTGGGTAGTTTTCTAGCTCAACAATCAATTGATTCGACGTTTTATTACAATAAAATATTGAAAAATAACTACACTTTTATTTATTATGTTTTCGGCTTACTCACGTAATAATTTGACGAGAGACTCGAAACTATTACGTGAGTAAGCCGAAAACATAATAAATAATTTAGAATGTCTCACGAAAGTTATAATAAAAACTACACTTTTATTCATCGATATGTCGATACACGAAATTTTTGGTATTTGTAGCAAATTTTAGAAGTCAAAGTAAGCTTTTTGACGCAAAAATAATATGACATCATAATTTGGAATTCCATACAAAAGTATTGTTTGGATAAAAGTAGAATGTGACTGGTTAGAAACAACCCTATTACATTATAGTTTTTAATAATTATGTGGTTAGTAACGGCTGTTCAACAGGACTAGTAATGGAATTTTTAATCCAACAAGTGAACAGCGCAATAACTATTATTACTACTGTATCTATTATTTTATGGGAATTATTGGCTGCCATAGTCACCCGTCACCTTCACATCATTCTGAAATATCAACAAAATGAGTAAAAATAACTAGATCAGTGAAACTATTAGGTATACAAAGACTGTATATTTGGCATGTTTATCACTATGCCAAATTACTTATGTTAAGAAACTCGAGGAACTTATATAGTCTTATCTAGAACACTTTTAGTTTTTCCATCTACGGTTAACGTGGGATTTATCCGAGCTAAGTGGTCCCGTGTGAGCCACCATCCCATCCATCGATTCACTCAAACTTTGTCTAAAAGAGAAGTTTCTTTAGAATATTGACACTGTTAGTTTTGTTAGAGTCAGTTTTATCTATTTAGGATCATTGAATCTAAGATGTTTCTTCCTAAAAATAGGTATGTCCTCTATGAACCTATCTTTTGCAAAACTATGGGAGTCAAACTTCGCCACAAAGGGGCGTCTCGACCGGAGTGATACCACGGCCTCACAAAAAACCAGCGTAAAACAACCACAGCGGTTTATTTTGTCGTGTGAGGTTACTGGAGGCCCAATCCTTCTTCTCCTTCCCCGATCCCTTCCCAATTCCTAAATCTTCGTGTTGCGGGTGCAGCCCATGTTTTGCTGCCACGCCGATTACTTACGCCGGTTTTCTGTGAGGCCGTGGTATCACTCTGGTCAAGCCGACTCATTCGTGCCGCAGCGTAGCTCTCCCGCACCTATTACATTATAAATTTGAAAAAATTGATTTAGTTTAAGTCTTGGGTTACACAGGGTATAGTGAGCTTATATTTGAAATATTATATCTGAGGGAAAAAGGTGAGAAATTGAACAATAAATAGTCTTTTCAAGATTGCCAGGTGTTCCACAAGTCTAGAAAGCTAATTTATTTTTTATTGTGTTGGCCCTAACCTACCACAAGGTCGTAAGGTTCACAGGAGTCGTTGTATCGACATTTTCTGCACAAAAGTGGTCCTGTCGGGGCGTCTGAAGTATTTTGGACAACCACACCGAATTGTTAGACTAATTTCAATTTGATTGTGATGAGTTTACAATTGATTTTACTTTGGCACGCTATTTTTGTTATCAGACGAAACATTGAACAAAAACTAAATTATGTAAATGATATTGTTCTTTTGAACTAATTGTTAAGCTTTGTTCGTTTGTATTATTGTAAGTGGAAACTTTAGTCTGGCCACTGTTTATGTAGATTAGCCATTTAAGCTAATCGTGAGGCTGGAAATTTCAGGTTCAAAAACCCTCATTAATACAAAATACAGTCTCCTGAAAACATGTTACTAATTATAAATATCCTCCGCAGGTACCGCATCGCGTTCACAGAAACCCTCTGCTGTGGTAAGGTCATCAGCAAGAAGAACAGATACCGGGAGCACTCCAGCATCAGGGAAACCATGGTGAACCATACCTCAGATGGTACCAACCTGGTCAGGGTCCGCTCCGAGATCCAACACAAAAGAAACCGACTCGATAGACGAAGCAGGAGATGCAGCTACTACGGGACGGAGACCACGAGCCTTTGCAGCGAGAAATGGAGACAGGAAACCCCAAAAAAGATGAACAGCATGCTCATCAATGACAGGAACAGTGTATCTTCAACCCTATGTAATAATAACGAAAGTCAGTTATTGTATAGCGACTTCAAAATAGACGGTGATGTCACTTAGAGTACCAGGCGCGCAGACATCGCGAGAGCTAACTTGAATGTCGGGAGACACTGTCAGCCATATTGTCGACATGGTCAGGATTTTGTATTGTGATAAACGATGTAGATTTAATACTTTGCTTTTAATGTATAAGTAAATAAGGTTTATAATTGGTTGTAAACAAACCGCTTATATCTACAGCTCATTCGTTTTTCCTATAAAAACAATTCGAAGAAAACGACGTCAAAGTACTTTGCTGAAATATAAAATGTATTTTACAAGTAAATTAATAAATAATGTACCTAACTATATCTCGACGGTATGTTATTTTTTAACGAGAATACCTTCAATTATATTCTGTTGTTTGTCTAGAGTAAATTGTGTCTCATATACATGAGCAAGAATCTAAATGAAAATCTTATCACGCGTGTACGGTAAATAAGAAACGTTAATAGTTATTTGCCCGCCATATTGGATAACTATATTATTTGTAACGACGATAACAAGCTTCTTGAAACACACCAAAACCATTCATGATTCACAATTAACATGATAAGATAGGACATCACTTGAAAATTATTTTAACAATATACGCGAAGAATCACAATTATATACAAGTAAAGTGAAAAGAGTTATATACTACGTTTAATTAGCCAAAAAGTCCACAAATACAAGAACCAAGTAGGAAGCTAATTAAGCCATTTTTCGCTGAATCACACGAAAACAAAAACCACTGCGCACTGTCAATTTTGAGGTTCACCCGTGTCTTGCGTTTCTTGTCTACATTTAATTAACCCGGTTAACCGGAATCTGATCGCCTCAAAACAAGAGAAAGTAAACTTTTTCGATGTTTTTTTGTTTTCTTAACCTACAATCATGTACCTTGTCGTGCTCAAGAAGATTTGGCTATTTACAATTAGCTACTCTCGCGCTATTTCACCCGCTGCTCGGCTCCTACAGATCATAGCGTAATGTTATATAGCCTAAAGCCTTCGTCGATAAATAAACAATTCCGTAAAAAAATATTTTTTCAATTCGAACCAGTAGTTCTTGAGGTTAGCGCGTTCAAACAAACAAACAAACTATTCAGCTTTATAATATTATATAAAATATAGTAATATAAGATGAATTAAGCACAGGATTCCACATGCTGTATTTCCTTAGCCTTATGTCAGTGGTATTTACTGATTTGCCAATAATATATCGAGGAAGGATACAGCTTGGCTGGGCAGCATGTAGAAAACTCGATCGGGTATTCTCCACAAAGATACCCCAAAGAGTCTCTGTAAAGGATCGAATTCGGAACGAGGTGATCCAACAGAGAACTAAGGTTATCGACATAGCCCAAATGATTAGCAAACTAAAGTGGCAGTTAACAGGTCACATCTGTCGAAGAACCGATGCCCGTTGGGGTTAACGTGTTCTAGAGTGGAGACCGCGTCTAGGCAAACGTAGTGTAGGGCGCCCTCCAGCTAGGTGGACTGACGACATCCGCACGGTGACAGGCAGTGGTTGGATGAGAAGAGCTGAACATCGAGCTCAGTGTCGTGCAATTGGGGAGGGTTATGTCCGGCAGTGGACTATATCAGGCTGATGATGATGATGATGATGATGATGATGATGTCGAGGAAACTATAAAACATCACGCTACTATCAGAAAGAGCGGAGCAGCGGGTGAAACAAAGCGAGACTGCCTAGTTACCTACTGAACATACTACCTATAAAATTCAGAAAATAATTTTGTTACGCATGATTGGAAATAGTTATTTTATGAAGGTTACTCCTAAGGGAAGAGACGAAATTAACCTTATCGCATACTTAGAAATACGATGTTTTTTTACTTTGGAGATTTGAACATATGGCAAAATAATTTATATTACATTTCAAGGAATATGTCATTATGATCCTGAAACGAATGTAAGGCGTGGAAGACATTTGTCATTCGTGTCATTAAATAATAAGAAAAAATAGTTGGTAAGTGTGAAAATCAATTTTATTAATATCAAATAATAATTATCATTGATGCGTTGTGAGTTATCAAACTTCACCGGTAGAATCGAAGGGTTAATTCCAGAGTCAGTAGGTCATTCTCATCCTAAGACCTTGTTAACTTACACACGAATGGCCTCGTGCATTTCACGTACGTTGCAGTACAGGTCGCGTCATTGTCCAAGCGAGCACAAACATTATAAGCAATGTACGCCGAACCTCCCTAAAACCTACATCTTAATCCTCTGTGGTATAAGCAATTTTTAATGAAGGTTTTATTACTATTTATTTGACCCTGTTTACGGTGTATACAGCCTACAAACCCCCGAAGTCAAATAAACATTTCTCTCCCAGGTCCCACCTTTATCTAAATTGCTTTTCACTTCGTAAGATAACGATTATATAACTAAAGTTAATTATTGTAAAAAGTGTTTAAAACATACTGTTATAAGGTACATTTTGTAAATACATATGTTTAAGTATTTACGTAACTTTTTTATTGTAATTAATGAATGTAACTACCGCAGCTAAATTAAGAGAATAAAGTGAATTAATACTAGAATTCATTTGTTTATTTATTTTCTTTTTTAAACACATTTTTATGATATACCTAGAAGTAGAAAAGAACATACAGATTTTGATCGCCTGATGGTAAGCAACTAGCGTCGCTGACGAATACCTATATTGTCAAAAGAGTTATGAATGCGTCGCTGACCTTGGCGATGGAAGAGTTTTGAGATTTTTTTATGAAATAGGTCGGCAAACGAGCAGAAGTATTACCTACTAATGGTAAACAATCGGCGCCGCCCATGGACACCCGCAACACAAAAGGAGTTACTAGTGCGTTGCCGGGCTCTTGAGGTTAAGGGTTTTAAATATTAGAAAATTCAGGAAGAATTGGGCTTCCTGTAACCTCACTCATATGGCAAAATACAACGCTGTAATTGTTTCACGCCCGGTATGTTTGAGGCAGTGGTATCGCTCCGGTCTAGCCGATCCATTCGTACCGAAGAATGACTTTCCCTCACTTTTTGGATTAGGGTGACGAAGCAACTCAACGCCAAATCGGTTTCTTTAAGAGCCATGATATGATATGACATGACAATACTGATAGTATTGCCGAATGGATTGGCCATTAGTGCTGAAGCTGAAGGTCCACCACACATTTTTTCATATTTCTCTAATGTCTAGCCCTGTTACGTTGTTAGTACCTACTCGTACTAGATTCTGTGTCGTCAGATATTCGAGAACAGCTAAAAACTATCTTACTTGAATGCTTATCTAAAATTAGTCTTTTTAAAATGTTTTTATTGAGTCTAACTAACAGTAAGTAGGTGTGAGTACACATTATTGGTCGGTAGCTTCTTATCATCGTGACTATTAAAAAGAGAAAAGTTAAGCAAAGAAAAGAAAAGTAATTACGAGACTTGCTCATGCGGAAGATTCAATAAAACTAATGCAGTACTAATTTAATGAGTTATATACTTATAAACCATTATTTGCACTTTCAATATGCCAATTTAAATTAGGAAAAAGTAATTCCTTGACGGGTTGGCACTTGACAGTCTCTGTAATGTATCTGTATAATAGGTTTATCATCACAGTAGTCTTTTTATGTGGTAATTCAAGCGAACCGACCACCTTACGGTAAGCAATCAGTACGATTACCATTTCGTTCTTGGATATTCTGGGTTTCATCGTCGGTTAGGGATTTGAAGATTGAAAGATTTGAGGACTGAATATGATAGAGATGGGACCTCTGCTAACTTCACACGCAAACAAAGTATGCGCTATTTCACACCTGTTTGCAAGAAACATGGCTCTGCCACACTGGAGCGATAATACAGGATAAGGTGATAATAATATTACTTTATCTAATGTTGACTGCAGTTTGCGTTTCAAACAAATATAAAAATTTCTTGAACGTTATTGTTAGAAAGCCATGCTTTAGCACGGATGGGTTGGCTTGACCCGAGTGATACCACCGACTCACCATAGTGTTGTGTTTTGGCGTGATAATGAGTTTACCGGAGGCCCATTCCTTCCCTTCACCCATCCCACCGTACATCTTCAAAATCCTAATCCCCAAAAGGCCGGCAACGTACTCGTAACTCTACTGGTGTTGAAGGTGTCCATAAGCCTAAGTTTGCCGACCTAAACATAAAAAAGCGTTCTTCGAAAAGTCGATGACCTTTTGCTTATACATTTGTAATAATATATAAAGGCAATTTACTAGTATAATAATATTACATGTAGCCCATATAGGTAAGCTCATTTGCATGAAAGTAATTCGATATACATACACCTACTGTCTGTCATCTTTTCATTAAGTCTCAGAATGTATAGTTCTGGAAATTCAACTACATTCGTTTAGGTTTAGCGTTTAAAATGAATTATGTTTTAGACGATATTTGAGGGACTTTACAGGGTGTGTTTTATTCTAACTATAGAATGTATATTATCCTATCCTCAAATCCTGACGCTTCCCCCCGATTTTCGCAATGTACTCCCATTAAAAAAACAGTAGGCTAACGACAAGGTTGCCATGCTGTCACAAAACTCTCCTCATTGCTTCCCAACAAGGAATATAATGGCCAACAATAAAAAAAAATCTCAAACGTGATCCCTTGTGTATGTTTATATTATCCCAGCGTTTTGTTTGTACCGTGGATGACGACCAGCGGAGCAAATACATAGGAACCAGGGGACGCGCCGCGCGCCGTCACAATGTTGTGTCCCATTATACCTCCGCTCTTATCACAATACATTTAGAAATCGTGTTGTACGTGAACGTCGCTACAAAGTTACGTCTGCTCGAGTTTTACAGCTAATGGTCTTATTAGTAGTAAAGATTCTATTCTTAACTCAAACAATAAGTGAAATGAGTTTGTCAGATAGTAACATTGTAAGTTCGAAAATGCAGAGTTGAGGCACAGTGGCTGGATAACCGGCAGCTGTGCTAAGCATCGCGGGTTGGTTTTCAAGAAGTGATAACGTCTTTTTCCTAATATACCAGTGCTAGTCTGGAGTCAGGAAACTTGGCAGCGTTTCATTGTGCCTCGGAAAACATGTAAAGTCATTGGCCCTCTTGGTTCTGTACCTGACTTACCTTCAAGTTTAGTTGTTCTGCCTGTGCATGCCAAGTGACCAAGTGTATGCGCACACTTTGACACTTGGCTATTGTAAGTTGGTGCCCTGTTAATATCATCTCAAATGATGCTTTGTGAAGTAAACTGGCTTCAAGACATACAAAAATCTAAATTCAAGACATATAATTGTAGACAGTCTACCCACTTAACTTTTTAAAGGGGAGCTCGAATATTTTGAAGCCACGCTAGGGATACATTCATAAGCAGAGTTCTACGTCACATTACGTGATGAACGATTACTCATTCGAATATGAGCTCCTGGCGTCGCTTGTAACCGGTCGAGGTTCTTGTAAAACAGTTGCACGAGAAAGCTGTTGAAAATAATATTATTATTTTACGACATTAAATAACATTACAATAATACTGAATCATAGCTACGTGAAAATAAATATGGTTGAACATAATTTCCAGGCTAACCTGTTTGCTTGCCCCGGCCTACAGCAGAAGAATAAATGGGTTGACTTTCAACCAGTAAAAGTCTGACACTCCTTCCCCCTAGCTAGGGCGAGAAGTAATTTGATATTTTTGCCCTCAAATGAAAAGGATGTGACTGTCTATCTACACATCGATGTTATTTTAGAACACATCTTTTGCCTAGTTATATTTGTCTATAAATAAATATAAAAGGCTTCATAAATAAAAGTCTAAAAGCTGTTATTTATTCATGTGTCAGCACTTTGCGTGCCATAAATAACTGACAAGCTATTTACTGTTATTATGATAACTAGTACACTGTAACTTGAATGTCGTCATCAGTAGGAAGAAAAGAGTAGCCGCATTCACATGTGCATATAACGTGCAATCAGATGCAATTCAAGGGTATAACTTGCGTCATTGACAACATTCCTGTAGTATTCAAGATACATTTATAAGAACATAGTATTATTTTAGGGTTTTCGTAGTATAGGTAGGTTGAAAGAACTTTTTCTTGTGAGTGGTAAATCATCAAATGACTTCTCCCGCCCAGGGCTCGGGCGGTCGGCGGTCCGACTCTTACTGATTAACCCCAAGTTCCGTCTCCTGCTCTGTGTCACGGCTGCGGTGCCTCCGTGGGTGCCGCATTGTGTTTGCCCAGCAACCCCAGACGAACATCAGCCTTACAGGGCCCCGTCCATGGTGGTCTAATAGGTCTCTTTGAGGCGCGTACAGAACGCTACGCACCGAATGCTCGGGTCTGTCATTACTCGCCGTCCGCAAACCCGCGCTTACAGTGGCTGTAGGTCGTCTCTCGATCCCCGACGCCCGGAGTGTCGCCCACTGCGGCGGTTGGGACGTTATAGCCTTCCTCGATATGCGAACCAACACAAAAATAATTGTTCAATTCAAACGAGCCGTTCCGAAAATTAGTGCATTAAAACAAAAAAAAACTATACCATCTGTCCAACGAAGCACCCTGCCAAGAACAGCTTAACCAACATATACATGTCACATACAAAGTCAAATAAAGTTTCTAAACTTTGAAATATTGCAGCAATCTCCCATAAAAACTGCTCGCTCCAAATCCCGTCTCGCTTCAATTTACTTTCAGATTTTGCGGAAAACGATCCCTAGTACACAATATAAAAGGGTTCCGCACTCTTAAATTACGTCACGTTCTACCAAGGTCAATATAGAACTGTTATTTAAATGACTTTAAAGGTTTGTATGTATTAAGATTTCCATTTTAATGATTTTTTAAAGCATGAAAATTGTGAAAAGACGAGTTGGTGCTACGTCGCACCTCGGAGACGTTCGCTGGTTCCCAAGAAATGTAACTTTATACTTTATTGTTCGAAGTTACATTAAATACTCTATGCAAACAATAGATATAATCAGATATATATTGAATACACACATACATCTAGCAGTATACTATTGTCGTGGTGGCCCGTAGAGGTTAAGACGCCCGCTTTTCATATGGGCTGAAAACCTTGGAAGAACCAATGTTACTTTTTCCCAGTTACATGTAGGAGAACTGGAATTATAATTTCCCATTAAAAGTTTGCAATCGCCAATCGACTTGAGTAAGCGTAGTGATTAATTCTCAATGAGAAGAGGCCTTTGCTCAGCAGTGGGTACTTATAAGCTGATGATTTGAATCTAATTTTACATTAGATTCACAATCTTCTAACGTACACGTATGCGTCGTCACAGTCAACTGACAAGAATGTAATTTACGTAACCAAATCATATTTGATAGATACCATTTTAACCATAAACTGAGGTGCTGTCCACCGAAGCAAGATTTCCACTTACTGATTAATCGTCGTCATCTCAAGTGAATTATAATTCCGTTGATGACAAATTAATGAATAGTAGATCGCGCGTATCAGATTGCGCTAACCGAGTTAGCACCGTGAAATGATGTGGCTGGTCAGCTCATCACAATGTCTCGCCTGATTGGCTGCTGGCTGATTGTGCTGCTCGTGCTGGTTGAGGTAAGCATAACTCCTCGCATTACTGCGCACCTGGTTTTTTTATGTGATATTTCGGCAAACGAGCTTACGGCTAACATAATGGTAAGCAATTAACGCCGCCCATTGACACCCGCAATAACAGAGACGAGTGCGTTGCCGACCTTTTGGGGATTAGGGATTTTGGGATTTAGAATTGGGCCTCCGGTAACCTCACTCACATGACGAAACACATGCCATGCTTCGGCAATGGGTCAGCTCGACCGAAATAATACCACGGCCTCACAGAAAACTGGCGTGAAAATACTACAGCGTTGTGACCCTTCCCCAATCCCTAAATCTCCAAATCCCTAATCCCCAAAAGGCACTCGTTACTCCTCTGTTATTGTGAGTACCCATGGGCAGCGCTGAATGCTTACCATCAGGTATTCCATCAGCTCTTTTGCCGACCTAAAACACATAAAATAAAAATGATTATGAGCCCCTACCGTGACTTGAGACCAGTCGAGTTCCTCACCAAATTAAAAGTGTCACGAAGGTTATCACACCTAAATTCACCAACCTCATTATAGCATAATTCGATCCTCGACTTCGCTTTACGCAAAATTAACTTTTTTCCATTTGCCATGGTATCGAGAATATTCCATATATTGTAACTTTTGTGAAGGCAGTTTGACACGAACATAAATTCTCGTTGTTATCGCGAGTCTGCGATGCTACCCATTGTAATATTCTTTTGTATAAAATTTGTTGACTTTCTTCAACTCATTGTTGCGTAAGTAGGATAAATATTATATTTAAATGCGTGCCATAAGACGTTTGATAATGAAAATTCAACCTTATTGTTTTGACATAATGTTTGCTTTGCTTGGATTTTCTAACCAATTCACTAATTATTAAGCGGGCAAACAAAAGAATATCGTTACTCTAAATAAAAACAAACCCTGGCCATGAACAGTTTTTAGTTTATTCCATCTATCTATACTAATGTTATAAAGAGGTAAAATTTGTAAATTTGTAAGTTTGTAAGTTTGCATGTTTGTAAGTTTGTAAGTACGGGGTAAACTTTGGAACGGCTGGGCGGATTGCCAGAATTCTTTCACTGATCGATAGCTACAATGTTCCTAAGTGCTATAGGCTATAAAACATCACGCTACAATAAAATGGAGCCGAGCAGCAGGGTGCAACCGCGCGAGAGTAGCTAGTCTCTTATATGGAAAACCTACAAATCGAATGACATCGATAAAATATAACTACCTATTTCCTTAACACATTAACGTAAGACAAATAGTTCCCCTATACGAATATATTACAAAAAGGTTTGCTTGAAAATCCGTTGCCAATAAATATTGGGTCGTATGAATCACCAAAAGTACACAGTTCGAAGCCTGACCTTGTAGCAGGCTACATTGTACCTTCATACCATTGTCACAGTGTGGGTATGTAGGTATGTAGGTCATATCAGTAATACTGCCATTCAGGAAATTGAACGTTCACGTAGCATCGGGAACAATGCATTTAATTATAAGTCTGTCATATTACTGCGTGGGTAAGGAAATTGGTCCTGTGCTACCATAGACTTAGATTTCCCATACATCATTTTACTTATACTTTAAGACTCATAATCTTAAAACGTCAGAGTGGAAAACGACACTTTTTTGAGTACCAATCTAAAATCACCATTGATTTTTAATGTAAGTAAAAATAACTACTTACCTATATATGTATATTTTTATCGAAAAATTAATCCGCTTTAATGCCGATTTTCCGATATTACTAAACGTGTTCAAAAGGACTCGTTTTCTAATAGCACACGGTTTCTGAATAAAGTCATCTGATTGGTTGTTGATAATTCAGTCAACCAATCAGATGACTTGACAAGAGATCAAATTGATTTTAACATTGATCGGCCTATCGGAAACCGGGTGTAAATGTGGTGTTTTTAAAATTGTTATTTAATTTACTACGAGTAATACCAACTGAACAAAATAGCCTTCAATTATTCAATAGTATCAAAATAATGAATTGAATATGGTTACTGTCTGTCCATTTACAATATAATCTGGGTCTAATTAAATATTCAACGGAAGCCTCCATTACTAACTAAACAATTTACAAACGTAATTTACATTTATTTCAATGTATAAATGACCAATGTCTGTTTTATTTTTCACTAGCGACTCGCCCCGGTTTCATATGCAATACTGATGCTTTTCTCCACTACTTGATGAATGTTGTTATACATATAAATATTTCTCTCCAATCTCTTGATCTATTAAAAAAACTGCATCAAAATCCGTTGCGTAGTTTTTGAGGTTTAAGCATACATTGTCTTGGTGGCCCGGAGGTTAAGGCGCCTTTTTCCCAGTTACGTCTATTTTCTATGATCATTTAGACACCACTGACTCACGGTGATGAAAACATGTCGTGAAAAAATCTGAACTTGGACTAAGTTTAAAATCGCCAATCCGCCTTGAGCAAGCGTGGTGATTAATGCTCAAACCTTCTCCGTGTGGGAAGAAGCTTTTGCTCAGCAGTGCGCACTTTTAGGCTGATGATGAAGCCTTTGTTTTATACAACGTAGTGATAGAGATTTAGCTACTCTGTACCGAATTTTATATAAGTACATTATTTAGCATTAAGTTACATTTTGTAAACAATAGGTCCACGTTTGATTAGGTTTGATTAGGCCTACGTGTACCAATTTGCTCTAATGAAAAGGACAAATGAATCTTGTGTCTCTTTGTTTGTTCGAAAACAACCAAAAACATGTTTTGTTTTCGCAAAACAACTCCACTCGGCTTGTACGAAACATTTTTTAAAAAAACACCGACCTATTTCTAGTAGAAAAAGAAAAGATTTTTCCATTCAACTCACTTCAATAGTTTTCAACATTTCTCTCCTAAATAAAAACTATTTGTTTTAGAAAACGTAAACTTCGCTTGAGTCTGCATCTGAACAATGATAACATCTCTCTAAAATTTAGGAAAGGTCAATCGTTAACAAAGTATACGTAAATTAAGTTTGTTGAGTATACAAGTTGCTAGTTACAATTTGGACGGGTATTCCGAGTTTATATGGAATTAAAATATTAACTAAAAATCGCGAGTTACTCACGTGTATATATTGTGAAAAGCTCTACTAGTTTCGAACCACAGAGGGCTTCTTCATCATGCATGAGCAGCGTGCGCGGACGCGGCGACGTCGCGCAGCCTACTGATAGTTATTATAAGAATTAAAATATAGTATTTTAATTCCATATATCTATAAAAACTGTGATTATAACATAACTTTTGAATCACCAAAAGGGATAAGCAGGCGCACAAAGCACATATGGAAAGTGAATAGTATCCCTGAAATAATATGATCCGCCCAGTTTTCACCATTATTAATTGCCATTAATCCGGCACAAAGCAAGATCTCATAACTTCAGACAATTTTTAAAAATATCCAGTCATTCCTTAAAAAGTCATCAATGAATGAGAGGCAGTCAATAAAGATATTTAAATTTAAATATTTTGCCGTTGCAATAAGATTATAAAGATATATAGTATTTTAATTTTATATGTCCATTGATTTAATTTCAGAAAACTTCATGCTTCTGTGATGCCAGAGTGAGTATACCCATTAATAATGTCCTAAAAAATCCAACTGTACTAACTGTAGAATAGTTTTATTACCACCTAATTAATATGTCCGCTGGTGTCATGGAAGTTGACTAAGGAGCAGATACTGGGTAGCATAGTCCTCTGATAAACTTCGAACAGTGACTAACCAGCCAAGCCAAGCTGCCAGCCACCATGCCAGTGGCATACTGATAACTACGACGGCAAGCGAGGGTAGCTCGCTGGGCGACCTGAATCAAACCCGAGCGTATAGCGCGTAGTATTCCGCGCGCGCCTTTAAATTCACAGATGGTTTTACTAGGGCTGATGTCCAGCCAGGGTTGCCAGTGAAACCGCAACATGTAGCAGGAACATGATGGATTTTAGTCAGAAAAGACTGACACTCCCTCTCCCTTCACTCAGCGCAAAAAAACGCCTGGGCTAAAGTCCTCCCTGAGAAAAGAGAACTGTTACGAATCCTGCGATATTTATTTAAAATATGTTTACTTTATACTTATATTTGATAAGTTAATTCTTATATACGAGTGTATAATTATTTTACTATCCCGCAAGTGACGCAGGTCCTTGCCTACGCGATTTTTTTATTAGAATTCCTCAAACACGATATTTCATTTCGAAGCATATTGAAGCTCGCTACATTTTCACATCATAATCCCGGCTGCTATAAATAGATTTAATATATTATTACATCATAAAAATATACAATTTTATGTATTTATCCACGAAGGGGCAGACCTTGTCGAAACTTTCTATTTTAAATATAGCTTGACGTCAATTTGAAACGCATTTTTACTTGACGACGATGGTATAAAATTAACTTTAAATTATTTCAAACAATTTTTTTTATATATATTTAATTATTTTTATAGAATATTGTAAAGTAGCCTAAAACACACACGTCCACAATGACATGTCCAGCAGAACAGTATTTTGAACAATTTTGTTCAAAATACACTCACTCAATAATCAACTACTTCAGTAAGGTATAAAGACGATTTTGTTTACAGTGTTCCGGTGATAAGTGTCACGCGGGGGTAAGTAGTGACGAATTAAAATACATCTCTCTAGCCACATGAATTGCGACCTTATTTATTAGGACATAGAGACTTATTATACACTGATTAATAGGTACCTATGTAGAGAGAATTCTCATTAGAATCCACCAAGTGCCAATGATAGTATGTGTACGTGTCTACTAGGACTATCTAGATATAGGTAATTTTCATGTGTCGTGGGTGCGTTTACTTCTTTACGTATTATTATCTCATTACTTATGGATCACACTTTTCTAACTGCATGATTAGCGAAGTGGCTGCAATGTGCAACGTGTCGCGCATTAGATTCCTACGCGGAAAATACTTCATGTGATCCACGAATTGATGTTTCGTGTCTGGAAGGTTTTTTCAGATATAAATTTATTTGAATTTGTATGTTTGTTTGTTAATAAGTAAGTTATTTGTTACCCACAACACGGTAGAAAATGCTGCATTCCTAGGTTAACTATCAGGTTTTCAACACAATAGTGTCCAACTGTGCTAAACGCTCCCCCTCCCTCTCGATCTCTCTCTCTCCCTCTCCATCTCTCTTTGTCCTCTACCCAATACTAAATTAGGTGTCCAGAAAGATCACTACTTTATTTACCTGTTACAGCACTGAATAAAATGTGAGGCCTTATTAGGTTTGTCTAGCGAGAACAGAATGCTTGATAGAGCATACAAAATGTATGCCGCCCTGTACTCAATTCCCGAAGCGATAGAATACGTTGTAATAAATATTCTTCTTACAGTTCAACAAAAACATTTGCCTAGCTACAGTAAGTACTACAGTGTATAATTAATATTTATTAATTGAAGAGCCATGCTTCAGCACGAATAGGTCGGCTTGATACCACGGCCTCACAGAAAACCGGCGTGAAACAACCACAGCGTTGTGTTTCGCCGTGTGAGTGAGGTTACCGGAGGCTCAATCCTTTTCCTAATCCCTGTTAAATCCTCAAAATATTTGAAACCCTAATCCCTAAAAGGCCGGCAGCGCAAAACCCCTGGTGTTACAGGTATCCATAGAAGGCGCCGATTGCTTACCATCAGGTAATGTGTACTTGCTTTCCGCCGTACCAAATAGAAAAGAAAACTGTCATGCCCGGGTCGATTAAAATATGACTGTTATAAATATTACCTAGCATGCAATCCAGAATTGTTTCCGGTGTATGGCGTAATAGAGTAATTTATATTATAACTTTTGTGTATTATCTAACTCTTCCAGATTTTAATATCGATTAAAGTCGAACATTTTTCGAATCGAAATTCGTGTTGTCAGCAACTGCCGACACTTTCCCTATCGGAGCACTTTGTACCAGACTCGGGAGGTCCGCATACATTACGTCGCCTCTACACTCCGCACTCCACATAAGGATGTGTCATTAATGTTGGGCACGATATTCTTTTGTTTTCATTTGTATATTTATATTTGTTTTCAGTGCGAATCTTTCTCGTGTACGTCTGGGGTATGTGGTTAATTTTTACTTAATAAATTCTACAGTGTGATAAGTAAGACAGTATTATTAATGTGTTCACTACAACAATATTTTATTATAATAACACTAAGTCCAAAAAAACACAGACGTCTTTACGTTAACCTAGTTAAACTTGTCAAACTCAAATATATTATTATTTTCGACTTTATTTCGTCACGAATAAGGGATAGCTTGTTTAACTGATAAATGATAGAAAATATCTAGTTCATATATTACCACTAATACAAAGTTCTGTACCTAAAAATATTTTACGATAATGTTTGATAAATCCAAAAAGTGACACGATAAGAAGACTGATTGGCTATTTCAACGTAGAGGTAATTATTATTTAATTTCGCGTAAAATTCCATTAGGTTGTCAGGACGGTTGGTCAGGACCCCATAACATGATTGATGGTAATTAATGGGCTCTCAAAACAATCTATGAGGTCGTGACCTACGCTTTGGAAGGAAATAATATAAAGCTATATGGTCATAACAATGTTTGGATCAAGGAGTTTTGAAAACTACGATTAGTTTAGGAAAAATCCACATCCATGGCCGAAAATTACGTAAAATTTCGAGACTGAGAAACACAAATACTTTTCAGGGAGTGTACATATGTATCAGTAATTAAAGTAATCATTCACCAGCATTAAGCCAATGAAGCAGTAAACTTTTTTTTGTAAAACTAGGAGTTTCTCTTGTATCGTGGGTGCGTTTAAAAACATACAATTTCACACACCCGGACCAACAATTTGTGGATCACACAAAGAGTTGTTCCGTGCGGCAATCGAACCCGATACTGCGCGACAGCTATTTGCCCAATCACAACGCCAATCTTGCAGCCATCGAGGCATTATATTTATTCTAATTTCGAGGGGGTAAAATGAATGAAATGTCGGACCCCATATTAACTAAAAATCAGCCCGTCCCTTCTGCAAACCTGGCTGCACAGTAGCGCCTACCTGTGAAGGTCTGATAGCTCTCAGAGGCGCGTACGTTTCGTTTATAGACAGCATTGTTGCTGTGGGTTTCTTGTCCGCTTAAAACAACTACCTATAGTGGTGGTCTAAATACAACACAACTAATACAAAATTAAGAAAAACTTTTCAACAAAATATTTCTCATATACTTAAGGTTAACAATTTTATTCTAGTAGTGATTAAGCTAAGTCCACCGACTATCGCATTTTTATAATAAAAAGTTAAATTATGTTTAAAGTGCTCATATAATGGTAATATTGCATGACTGCGGTGCTCGCTCATGGAAATATTATCAACAACATAAGCATAAATCTTCATCATATTTGAAAGGTTAGCAGTAGCTACTGGCGTAAGGTGTAATAATTTATGTAGATAGAGAGTGGGAGTACCGATTACTTTGTAATTAAATGTAAAAATTGCTGAAGACCTCAATTCTGTCATAAAGAAACAAAGTGTTGCTCTACAATTTTTTATGAATTATCAACTAGCTTATATATTATCCTTATTTATTATTATCTTATTTCGATAACCGGTCTAGCCAACGAGAAGCCGTTTAATTAGATGGTTGAATTTCTCATCCTGGCTTTTAGTTGAAGGACCAAAATTGTACTGCGATACAATTTATCATAAACAAGCAACGCTCCTTAGCTTCACACTAGTGCAATAAGTACTGATACAAAATTTCAAATCAGAGCAGATATAAACAGATTAGGCCGTTAATTTAATGATTAACTAAACTAGCAGGGTCTTTGAAAGGGGGAAATCATCAAATGACTATGGCCTCCCGGGATGGGGCAAGAGAGAGGGTCAGACTCTTACTGACTATAAAGCAGCCTGTTCCTTTTCCTACTCCGAGCCGGGGTCATGGTTCGTGCTTATAACATTGAATTCAGCCCCTTTCACGCGAGAACCAAAGTCACAGACATTGCTGCAGCAAAAGATGCTTGACTAAAATTAAATAAAGTAGAAAGAAATTTCTACTAAATCCCTGACAAAACTATAGACGTACAAATACAAATGTATAGTACTGTCTTCCCAAAAATACCTTTCCTGGGACATCGTAAAGGGACCGAATTAATTCTGTTTCAAATCACTTACTGTCCCTGAGTTGAGGCAGCACTTAGCTGAACTTCTTCCGGTTAAAAGCGTCAATTTACAATACATGCCAACACCAATGAACTCAACTTGAAAACTTGTATATACTTATATACTATACTTGGGGTATTTGTACTATGTATGTACGTACGTTGTAACTTATGCTTTTGAACTTATATGATAGGTATTTGGTCTGCATCAAATCTGTACGTACTCTTCACAAGTATCTTACTTATCTACATATTTGTATATATAAAAGAAAGTCGTGTTAGTTACACCACTTATAACTCAAGAACGGTTGAACCGATTTAGCTGAAAATTGGCAGGGAGGTAGTTTAGAGCCAGGAGAAGGACATAGGATAGAGTAGGTAGTGTAGGTTAGGTAGTAGAGTAGGGTAGGTAGAGTAGGGTAGGTAGAGTAGGGTAGGTAAAGTAAGGTAGGTAGAGTAGGGTAGGTAGAGTAGGGTAGGTAGAGTAAGGTAAGTAAATTAGGGTAGGTAAAGAAGGGTAGGTAGGGTAGGGTAGGTAGTCAAATGACGGGAGCGACGCCGCGGGTAAGAGCTAGTGTTGTTACAAAACAGCAGTCGAACAAACAATTGCTTAGGACTACATATTATAGGTCAAGCGAAATAATGTACTGGGGCCTTGGGTTGGAGCAGGAGAGGAAATAGTCAGTAGGAGTGATAGTAGTCAGTAAGAGTCTGGTGTGATGCCTTTGCCTCAGTCCTTTAAAAAAGGTTTAGGTTAAACAACCACTAAAAGAATCTAAGAACGGAGGTTAGTTTTTGAAGATAACGATCAGTAATTGTACAAAGAGCGATAAATATTCTCCAGGAGATACTGTTAATAAGTGTAGTTTCTTGAGATAAAGATCAGCACATAGATTAATATCTTCCAGGACATACTTTAACTAAGTCTACACAAGCAATGTTACAATAACAAGCAGCATTATGATTTTTGTTTCACACTAAGATCTTTCTTCACATCGTGGGTGCATTTTTAAAACTTCTTACACACTAACAGCTGCAAGAATGAGTGCAGTATTCATCATCCTAATCTTCAGTGCAATATGCAAGATTCAACCAGTTACACAGAGTTCAGCAATTAAACCTTGCCATCGAGTGCATGCTCTAATTAAAACAAAACAGATTCGGCAAGTAAACTCGATTTAACTAAACGTAGCTAGCTGTTCCACGTGTTACTCCGAGGAATACAGAGATATTGGATCATCTACTGCACACTGGTACAATCGGCAAGCTGATTTGATATCCAGGTGGAAAATCAAGATTAATTTTATGCTAAAATTTTCTTCTGTGTCATTTAAAACAGAATTTCTCATATATATCACACTCATACCTGAAACAACAATTTGTGGATCACACAAAGAGTTTTTTCGGGATGCGAACCCATAACACATTGCATTGCGTTGTGGGAGAGCCAAGCCAAGCTTCGGCACGAATGTGTCGACTCGACCGGAGTGGTACCACGGCCTCATAAATACTGGCGTGAGACAACCACAGCGTTGTGTTTCGCTGTGTGAGTGAGGTTACCGGAGGCCCAACCTTCCTCTCCACCCATCCCTTCCCAATCCCTAAATATCTAATCCTCTATCCCTAAAAGACCGGCAACGCATGAGTAATCCTGTGCCTCCTTCTCTATAGTTACATGGTTTTTAATGAAGCGATATCTTTTAAAGCCATTGGTCGGCCATTCGCCACCGTCCTAACATAATTATACTATACATATATCTCTATAATAAATTATTATTTATTTTCTAGTCTGCATACCAAGTACTTTGACTCAGTGTACGTTTGCCTCCAACAGTACAAATAATATTTGCTCACGGCTAGGGAAATAACTCTGAGGTCTCGTCACCATTGTGCACTTAGCATTATTCTCTTAAACCTAGATTTAGTTAAGTATTGTGAAAATTATATGTAGGATGGTAATGTGTTGTTGTCTCCTGACACTTGCGTGCCTGTCTTCAGAACGGGTCCACTTAAACTGGTGTGGTTCTTTCCTCAAAAGACCACTACAGAATCAACTTGCATGGTTCTCTCACATTATGTTATTTTTACATTGTCTGGACTTGAAAAGAGACTGGCCTCTGAGTTTGTTTCGGCATTTCTTCTCAGAGTAGTCAGATAGGAAATGCCGGATTTATCTAGTTTTTCACAAATAAATTGACGTGTAAAAGTGCGGTTTTATGGCCTTTTTGCAAAAATTAATTCATTGTTTCATTGTTAGGGTAATTGGAGGTTACCAGTTTTTTTCGCCAGCTGGCGATACACTAACAAGAAAACAGGTTTTTAACAGTATTTAATATGAGTATGAAACTTAGTATGTAGTATGTTTATGATATATGCGTTATATAACGCTTCCTTCAAATAGTAAAATGCTCACAAGCAAAGCGAACAACACTTAAATCTGAAATTATATTATTTATAACTAAGAAAACATAATAGGTAGGTACTTCATTCAGTCCTAATTGACAATATTAATAATATCTTAATTCTAACACAAACCCCCGGGCGAGCAACATTAATTTAATAAATGGGACTCCTTTTGTATCCACTATCATTTTACACTACATCTGTTAGATACAGATGTAGTATATATCTGTGTAAAGAATGTACCCGGTAGTATCTCTCGTAGACATTCTCAACTTTATAGTGTTGGAAGAAAATTGAAATTTGCTTGAGCGAATTTCAAAATGTTAGTGTAGCTTGATGAGCGTCGGAACTAATTTAATTTCACACAACCTAGGTCATTACTTAGTACCTATGTTTTGACATGTGATTTATGTTTACTACATCA